TAACTCTTTATTCAAAAGTGAAAAATAAAGCCATGGGTTTAGATGAGTTTACTTGGGGAGAGAGAATAAAGTTAGGACAAGATCAGGCCCAGGATTTAGCATTGAGGAACCTATATATTTAATCACTACATAGAGGCAGAGAATCAGAAATACAAGCATGGAAGACAGGCCAAAGAAGAAGGAGGGGACCAGGGAAATTGGAAGCCAAGAAACAGTAGCCACATGATAGGTGGTAGCCACTACTGAAAAATCAAGGAAGTTGAGGACTGAAATGCCCCCTGGATTTCACAACAAGCCTCTCTAGATAGAGTGTTGGGAGATGAAATCAGATTTAAGTAGCTTGAGGAGCAAATAGCAGGTGAAGAAACGGAGATACAGAATGTAAGCAACCCATAAATTTATGTTTGTTAGACATTTTAATTTTTCTTCTATCAACTCTGTTTATGACTTTGGTTCTTTTCATATAGTACTATATCTTCTTATTTGTGTGTAAGAATGTGTTATATATTTTAAAGGTTTTGTTTTTACACTAGGTCTGTTAAATATGCTACAAACTCTTTTTCAATATATTCTTTCCCATTATGGTGAATATAACCTTAATATCAACTGGAGTTCTGCTAGTTATATAAGAGCGCTTGTGATGACATATGCTGTGATGATCTGATGTTTTACCCATTCGATTAGTGTATATTTATTGCTTTCACTATGTGCTCATGACTAATTTTGTAAGAATTTGCAGTATAGGGGTGCCTGGGTGGATCAGTAGGTTAAGTTTCTGACTTTGCTTAAGGTCATGATCTCACTGTTGGTCAGTTTGATCCCCACGTAGGGCTCTGTGCTAACAGTTTGGAGCCTGGAGCCTGCTTCAGATTCTGTCTGTCTCTCTCTCTCTCTGCCCCTCCCACACTCCACACTCACGCTGTGTCACTGTCTCTGTCTCTCTCTCAAAAATAAATAAACATTGGGGCGCCTGGGTGGCGCAGTCGGTTAAGCGTCCGACTTCAGCCAGGTCACGATCTCGCGGTCCGTGAGTTCGAGCCCCGCGTCAGGCTCTGGGCTGATGGCTCGGAGCCTGGAGCCTGTTTCCGATTCTGTGTCTCCCTCTTTCTCTGCCCCTCCCCTGTTCATGCTCTGTCTCTCTCTGTCCCCCCAAAAATAAATAAATGTTGAAAAAAAATTAAAAAAAAATAAATAAACATTAAACAATTTCAAAAAAATAATAATTATCCATACTTGGTGTGTCCCTGGATTTCAAGAATATAAGGTATTTTTTGTTATTTTGTTAATGTTTCTGGACTATTAAATAAAACATACTGAATTAGTTCCTTAAGGTTTCCACGTAAGAAACAGTGAATGTCATTTTAAAAATTCTTTAATTAAATATTCCAATTAATACTGGCCTATGAGCTTGGAAATTGTTCTTTACTATATATTAATAAACCTTCCTAGAGCTTCTAACTTGATCTCAAAAATGCACTTAGAAAATGGAAGAAAATATTTTCTGTTTTTTAGTATTCCCATATATCAAGTAGTATATGCCATAAATGAATCAAATGACAATATTTTTATATATTTCCAATATCTACATTCTTAATTAAAACAAAGGTAATATATATATATATATATATATATAAGATGTGTTTATTATACATGTAAGAGATATAATATATATAGTTATATAGTTTATGTACTATAAATAAGCACTGAATTCTAATTTAAATGAAAGTAATAATTTTTGTCTAATTAAACCCTTCAATCATCAGAATTCCTTAGGAGCCATAATAGCGTAGAGGCTGAGAATAGCACAGGCCCTTGAGTGGATTACAGTGGTTTGAATCTCGGCTTTATTGTATGATCTTGGGAAAGCTTAGCATCTTTTAGATAAATGTTATATTTAAATGTTAAAATTCAAAATGGCAAATTTGGGAAGGATGGTGAAGAGAAACGGTGACCTTGTTGGCAAAGAATTCCAGTATGTGTGTGTGTGTGTGCATGTGTGTGTGTATTATGGGTGTGTAGGGATGCTGAAGTAGCCTTCCAGGCAAAAGGAAACTTTGTAGAACTGAAAGATGGTTTCTAAGCCAATAAAAACTGTTTTGCAGATTCGAATAAAGCAGAAGGTAATGTGTCTCAGGATGAGACCAGAACCTGTGATCTCACATTCAGATCGTTAGTACAGATACTAATATTATACAAAAAAAAAAAAAAAAAAGCGAGGAGGAAGAAAACAAGAAATTCTCTCAGTGCAGAATGAGTACCAAACACTTAAAGAAATACGCAGTGCCTTTTATTCAACAAAATGTGTGACCATTACCGTAAGGTTCTCCATTTATGAAATACAGGTGTTCATTAAGGGATTATCTACAATCAGGTCTAAAATTTCCAAGTTCATAGGAGATTGCAAGCATTTTGCTGCAGCTGAAGAAAATCCATTTGTGCCTGTGTCAAAGCTGAAATAGTTTTTAAGCTCAGAAGATCTTTTGATTTTATGCAGAGGGACAGAGTGAGTTAAATATGTTTTCTATTGAGGCTGGGAGGATACAATTCAGTTTATATTAAATGAGGGTAGAAAATACAATTCAGTAAGACAAGTGTTCACACTGCAGTTTAAATGATGTATTCTTTTATCAATAAGAACTAATTAGGGAACTAATAACCTTTGTGATTATTTCAAGAAAGCATTAATTATACAGGAAAATATGATTTCTGTGAGTACATACTGTTACCTATGTTCTATATGAAGTGGAGAGTCTATGCAACCATAACCAAAGGCGCCATGACTCACCTGAAATATCTCAGAGGAGGTCAAGCATGTAAACTTGAATCTATAAAGTAACTGCAGATATCACAGGACTACTTTTCCAGTTCATGTTTGATAAGACACCAGTGCAGAAAGATTCTGTGGAACGGTAAACTTTGGCAATTCTAATAACTTATATGTCTTATTTTATTCTAAAAATTTTCTTAATGAGGTTTTTCTGTATTTCTTTTCATCAGTGGTCTACCCAAAGTCTTACTATAAATTACAGTTTTTAAAAGATTTTCAGAATCTGAGCTGAGCATGCTTCAAATTTTGTTGCAAATTTCATGCTCCATAAATTTTGTATTGTTTTGGTGATTAAATAATGTTTCTACTAAAGAAATAGTAATGAATAGTAAAATATTCATTAATTTCAAGCCAGTGACTGAAATAACATTACATTATCAATTAAAGTAATTCCAAGACCACTTCCGATTTTGTATAAATGGAATGGAAAAATACCCCTTTTGACCCCTTAGGCTTGAAACATCAATTTCACACACACTAAATTTTCATCAAATTTCATAATGAATTATTAATATCTCAAGAAGAATATTCAGGAGAATTTTATAACATGATATGCTAATGTCCCTCCTGATCACATTAAAAGTCACATGCTTACAAGTAATGGATTAGAAAGGAACCCAAAACAAAACAAAAAGGCAGACGCTCAAACCAAAGGAACATTCATTTCTATCTTGGTAGAGCAAGGTCAGAGGCAATTTCTCCTGTTCCTCAACTTGGAGCTGATTTTTTCAGTTCCTTCTTTATATTCACTTCTGCCCCATAAAAGTGAAAGGGTGAGATACATGTAGACGATCAGGGATAAAGGGAAGATTAGTAGTTTCAGAGGCTTTTGAAAAATGTGATTTTGTGCTTATTTATCCTCATTAGTGGCACCTAACCATTCCTCTTTCAGTTTAATCCTCTAAGCCTAGCATGTGAAAGTAGTTTGTGCTCACTGTTTCAAAATGGTAAATGCAGAGGACGGATTTACGGAAAGAGTTGGTTTTGTCTTATTTTTTCTCATAGTAGTGGCTTCATGTAGTGAGAATATTGTCTCATTTTATTTTGAAACAGGTTTGTTGATATAGAAAGAAGCTCACTTTTCTTTTCAAAGTTGAGGACATTGAGTCTTGAAGTTAAAGTCACTTCACCCCCACACATCTCCCGTGAAGCTGCCAATCACAAAACAGGGATGGGATCAACAGTTATTGATTTTTTAGAATAATATTGAATTAGAGTATAAACAGCTTTCAATAATAGGTAGGGGTTTACCATTGTCTTGACACAAATATGCATAGTTCATAATGTTCAATAGGAGAGAGCAAATACAAACAGAAACTTTAAAAATTTAGATACCAGAAAAGTATTGGAGCTTCTTTTAATTGCTTAAGAATCTCAGAATCCTCACTGTAGATGGGGGAACATTCTAAAAAATTACCTTAAATAGCTATGTATAAAGTGGTGTGTATTTTGTTGTTGTTGCCCATTATCTGAAACATTAGGTTGTATGTAATCTTCCAGGCACAGGGTGTATCCAGTTTATAGCCTCCCCAGATTATTAAAAGTGAAATCTAACCCAAGACCCTGTAGAAACTTATAGCATACAGCAATCTTTTGGAGAGGTATTATTACCTCTGATGGATGTTCCATGACTGGGAGGCCAAACCACTATTGGCTTTGGAGCAAGGATAGAGAATAGGATGGGTGGGGATGAGGACCAGCAGACCAGAGAGAGGAAGGAAGGATGGAGGGTGACTCATTGTCCATTTCTCTGACAGAATAGTGACTAACAGAGAGAAGGAAGACCAAAAAATACATTTTACAGAGAACGTAAGTTTTGCAGCAATTGTTTGAAGCCATTTGGGAAAGCTCGTATTAAGTGTTTCTAGCTGAGTTTGACCTACTTGGAATGACAGACTTTCCCTATCTCCCTCATTGGTCTTCTCAGTCCCTCCAGATGCCATTAATAGAGATCAGGGGGCGTTGAGGGAGAATGGGGGAAGCCATGGAAGCAGAAACTGGTTCAGCCAGTTGGGGCATTATCAATGTGTTCCTGACTTCTTTCTCCAAGAGCTCTTTCCTAGTCCCTTTCCTTTTATCAAATCCATCTTGTCACCCTGTCATCGGTAACATTGTCCCACTGCCCAGCTTTTCTCTCTCCCTTCTCCCTCCTTCCTCCCTATTCTCTCCTCACCTGTCCACGGCAATGGCCGTCATAGAGTAGATGCTGGCGAACACCGCTGTGATGGGAAAGAAGTTCTGGAAGCGACAATAGTTGGCGCCGAAGTACCACTCGCTGTGAAGCGCATAGATGAAGTTGACCAAGGTGTTGAAGGCAGCCATAGAGGCATCGGAGAAAGCCAGGTTCACGAGGAAGTAGTTGGTAACGGTCCTCATGCGCTTGTGGGCCAGGATGATCCAGATGACGATGAGGTTCCCGAACACCGCCACCGCCACAACCACGCCGTATGCCAGGGACCAGAGCGCGATGCGCCAGGACGGCTGCACGAACTGGTTGGTGAGGTTGGCCCGGGGTTGCGAAGGCGCCGGGGAGGCAGCGGGCAGTCCTAGGGCAGAGGACGAGGCCGAGAGGTTGCCAGCTTGGACTAGCAGGTGCAGCCACTCAGCCTCAGTCGCCCCCGGAGCGGCCCCTGCCGCGAGCGCAGCGCTCAGGTTCCCGGGATCCGCGCCCGCCGTGCTCGCGCGGTCGGTCCAGTTCGCGGCTGCGGGGAGAGAACCCATCGAGGCTAGTCTGCAGCCCCGATCTCCCCACTCACGGACGCCAGCCGAAGGTCTTCTCTGCTTCCTGGTCCCTTTGCTGGTGGGCAGACCTCAGCTCCGCCTGGAAGCAAGGTAGAGAGGCTACCGCAGCCCTTGATGGTTAAGAAATGCTTTGAGCCAGCAGGTGATGGGTAACGGGGGAAGCACTTTTTTCCGAGGATTTTGCGTCTCTAGCCGGCAGGAAGGATGAGACAGTCGAGAAGCGAGTTGTTAGGAGCTGTCACCTGCGGGGAACTCCGGGATCGCCCCTGCGCGAGTTCCCGGGCACCGGCTGGATCACTGAGGTTCAGGCGCTGCAGCGGGCTTTATAGTCTCTTACAGTCCCGGCTTTGGTGACGTTGTGGGGGCCGCGGAGCTGACGAACCCCTTCGAGGGCTACGATTGCACTCCTTTCCTCCGTCGCCCCTTTTGCATTTCATTCATTCGCTACTGGTAGCCGCGCAGCAGGCGCTCGGCGCGCGGTGAGACGCGCTGGAAAGACTGCACTTTTTCAGCTGTAATTAAAATCTGTACGAGATTGTTTTTCCTCTTTTAACTTCAAGATATTTTTACTGAGGTCTGTGTTCTCAGACATCTATTGTGGGCTGCTCGTTTCTAAACCAATTAAACTATTCACCTCTAGGGCGAGGGCACGATGCGGAGAGATTTGTCAGAAAGAGCTTGTGTGGCTATTACCTGCCGCAAGCTGGGGGCACAGCTAGACGCGCATTTTGTTAGGTGTCACTGGCTCTTGGAATTTCTCCCCACTTGCTGCTTGTTTATGTTCTCACGTACCAGATCCCTTTTCCTCTCGCTCCCATTTGCAAAGTCTACCCGTTTCTCCTCTTCTAATCTCCGTCACCAGAAACCGGTCTCCTCCGCCTTCCTCCCTGGCAGAGACTATGGATTCTCCTGGAGGATTCTGCTCCCGTTGGAATGCAGTTACCCACCAAGGATAGATCATCGATTTTCTTGAAATACGACGAGGACACTTGCATCTTTTCATTTCCCTGGCGTGAACATATCTTGTAAGGAACTTAAACATGTTCATTTGGTTATACGGCTTTGGACATTTGGCGCCTTGGTTTTCCGGCCTGTCGTGAGGACACATTGATAAGGATGCATGACAGTAACCTTAGTGTCCTGTGCAGACCAGAGGGCCTGACTTCTGAGCTTTGGCTGGCAACATGTGAGCAGCAGGGCTCTGGAGGGTACAAGCAAGAGGAAGTAGTCTGTGCTTAGATGGATGTTACAGGCAATTTATTAGTGTGTTCCAGAGCAGAAACTCTTCTTTATTATTTTCTTGGGGGCAGAAACAAAGGGATTTAGGGCTAAACATATTAGCAACTCCCCCAAAACATTGAACTCTTTGAAACTCAGTTTTCTCATTTGAAAATGAATATTAAAAAAAATCAAATTTACATAGTTCTAATTATATGGAGCAAGTAGTTTCAACAACAGGAAGCAAGAGGGAGACCTATATAAATGTTAGCACCCTTTGCTGTTGTTATCATTGCTCATTTTATCTAAACGTTTTCAAGTAAGATAGACTAGCATAGCAAGTTTTACTTGCTTCAAGAAAATGTAGTGTGTGATTTGTGAACATTCTGTATTCTTTAGTTTCCTGGTGTTAGAACATATTTCTCAAAAACTGCAGTGATCATTGTTCTTTTTTTAATTTTTTGATGTTTATCTTTTAAGAGAGAGACAGAGTGTGAGTGGGGGAGGGGCAGAGAGAGAGGGAGACACAGAATCTGAAGCAGGCTCCAAGCTGTCAGCACAGAGCCAGATGCAGGGCTCGAACCCATGAACTGAGAGATCATGACAGGAGCCAAAGGTGGAAACCTAACAGACTGAGCCACCCAGGCACCCCACTGCAGTGACTACTGTACAAATAGACTTAGGATGATTGGTAATGATACTGTTTTCCTTATTGTAATTTTTATGATAAGCAAGGTACTATATAGAAATAAGTTTGAAGCAACCTGATAATAAATATATTATACAACTCTGCTTCAAAATAAATGCATGCTGAAAATGATAACTATCAAGTTATTATTTACTATTTCTTCTCAGTGAGGCCTATGAAAATATGTGATAAATCGTAAGTGAATTTGATAGAGATTCCACATGTCCTGCTTACTAATTCTAAACTAAACCATTTTCTTTTGAAAGGTAGATTATTTCTTTCTGCCAATTCACCACTTAGAAATTACTTGAGTTACAAATGAAAACTTCTTTCTTCTCTAATGAAATCAAGGAAGAATTAAAAAAAAATTTTTTTTTGTATGACATGCACCATTCATCAAATGAGTCATGTGGTGACTTGGTAATAATTATGCATATTTTGATCAAATATTTAAAGTTGTAAAATTGCCTACTTGTGTAGAAATCCATTCAGTTTACTCTGTTGCTTTACTTATCATGTCTGTGATTTTGCCTTTATTGGACTTTGCCATGAGTGGAAATGATATGAAAAAAAAGTGATAATGATGGAATTAGAAGTACTTAACAATAAAAGGGGTTTAATGAGTTCTTTCAGAGGAAGAGAGGAATCCAGGACATGGCTTTCCTTTTAGAGCTACCTTCTATAGAATCTGTTTCCCCATAGAGGACTTATTGTTCATTCATTGCTTCAGTCATTCCCCTCATCGGTATTGAGTATATTTCCTTCCAAGAGCTGTGCCAAGTACTAGGAATGTAGCAGGTAAAACTAAAGATATAAGCCAGATATGAACCCTATCCTCACTGAGCTTGTAGTCCAACAGTATTTTTAACATTAGAGCAAGTATTATGAATAGTGGAATAGGAAGGTATAGAGAAAAATGGGAGTGTGCAACTGAACAAGAGGATGTGTTCATTGAATTCTGGATTCTGTCAACTTCTCTTAAAGAATTTCTTTGTTGAGGCGCCTGGGTGGCGCAGTCGGTTAAGCGTCCGACTTCAGCCAGGTCACGATCTCGCGGTCGGTGAGTTCGAGCCCCGCGTCGGGCTCTGGGCTGATGGCTCAGAGCCTGGAGCCTGTTTCCGATTCTGTGTCTCCCTCTCTCTCTGCCCCTCCCCCGTTCATGCTCTGTCTCTCTCTGTCCCAAAAATAAATAAACGTTGAAAAAAAAATTAAAAAAAAAAAAACAAAAAAAACCCAAGTATGATAAGGTGGAATTTCAGGTATTAGTGCTGGCCGGTGGAGAAGTTATTTTCAGAAAGAGGAGCTGGTCAGAATTTCAGATTTCTCTGACATCAATCTTCTCTTTGACAGTTCTCTCACACTTTTGGTTTCAGTATGTTCAGCGTTCCCACTGTGTTGAGATTTCTTTTTTCTTATGAATTTCAGATCTGATAGTCCACACTTTGACTCCTGCTTTGCAATTTTTTCTTTGTTATCATCATAGCTGCTTTACAATTACATTGGGTCATTTTCACTCTCTGAGTTGTGGGCTCTTACAATCAGTTTACTGAGTATTGCTGGTAATCAACGAATAATCAACAATCAATACAACTCCACTCAATTGTGTAGACAGGTGCTACTTGAAAATTCTTGCTCTCTACCATATACCCTTTCATGTGGGTTTGTCTGTGATCAGTTCCTATTTTCCCGAATCCCAACTTGCCTTCAGTGTTCTTTCTCCATCATCCTTATTCTGCTCAGCAAGTTGTCTCCACTTTATCTGAAAAAAATTAAGAACATCAGTCAAGAATTTCACATTTCCATGCATTTCAACCATCTTTTCATCATTTGTTATCATTTTGGTGAAAGTGGTTTATCTTCTCCTAAGACCCATTCTTTCATCTGTGCTACCTGTTCTTTCAACATCTCTTTCCCTCTTTTTTTTTTCCTTTAGGGTTGAAACATATGTAAGAATCTACATTAAAATAGCCCTTTTCTGGCCACATTTCCTGTTAGTTACTACTTTTCTCTCTCTTCTTCTATTCCCACATGACCTTCTTTACCAAAATATCTAAACTCAATATTTTCACTTCCTCACTCACAATAATATTCTTAAGTATTAAATCTTAATACTCTTCTGTCAATGCACTGTCCTATCAATTACCTGCACGTTAAACCAAACTGTCACTTTCCGCCCTTAACTTCCTTGACCTCTCTGTAGTATTAGCATTTGACATTTATATTAGTTTCCTAGGGCTGTCATAATAAATTACCACAAACTGAGTGGATTAAAACAACAGGAATTTATTCTCTCACAGTTTGGGGGGCTAGAAGCCTGAAGTCAGGATATGGGCAAGGTTGGTTCTTTTTGGAGACTCTGAGGGAGAATCTATTGCATGCCTCCTTCCTAGTTTCTTTTAGTTGCTGGCAATCTTTGGTGTTCCTGGGCTTGTAGATGCAACACTCCAATTCTGTCTCTGTCATCACATGATGTTCCCTGTGTATCTTTACATCACCTTTTCTTTGTCCAAATTAACTTCTTCTAATAATGAGATCAGTATGTCAAAGTCATTATATAGGGTTTATATAAGGTCAGTATATCAAACCAACATACCTCATCTTAACTTGATTATATCTGCACTTTATTTCCAAATAAGGTCATATTCACAAGTACTAGGAGTTAAGACTTGAATATATTTGAGGGGGGGGGACACAATGTTGAAGGTCATATTTAACGAATGTTTTAAATTGAAGACTAACAGCTCAACTGCTGGGTATAGATTTGCAAATCAAGCACTGGGTGGGAAGCAATGACTAAAGAGACTATGAGTAAAGATACCATGAATCCCTCCCCGCTTCAAAATAATAAACATTTTTAAAACAATGGCCCTCAATGAAGTGTATGAATTACTAAGAAAGTAGGAAATGGTATGATGTAAAGTAATATATATCAAGAATCTTAAGTAGTACTTGGCAATGAGAAAGAATGAAATCTGGCCATTTGCAGCAACGTGGTTGGAACTGGAGGGTATTATGTTAAGTGAAATAAGCCAGGCAGAGAAAGACAGATACCATATGTTTTCAGTCATATGTGGATCTGGAGAAACTTAACAGAAGACCATGGGGGAGGGGAAGGAGGAAAAAAAAAGTTACAGAGAGGAGGGAAGCAAACCATAAGAGACTCTTAAGGATTGAGAACAATCTAAGGGTAGATGGTGGGGTGGGGGAGAGGGGAAAGTGGTGATGGGCAGAGAGGAGGGCATTTGTTGGGATGAGGATAGGGTGTTGTATGGAAACCAATCTGACAATAAATTATATTTTTAAAAAAAGAATCTTAATTATCTCACTCTTCAAGTACAATAATTTCGCTCCTAGTGATTTGATCTAAGGAAGTAATCAGAAAATCAGACAAAAATGTATGTACAAAGATGTATATTGGAGCTATATTTGTGAGATCAAAAATATAAAAGTCATAAATGTAAAATAATTTTGGCATAGCCAAAAACTGAATCCTACTATCATCAAAGATGGGCTTTTCTCCTATCATTAGAAGAGCATGTTTTAAATGTTCTAAAATTAGGTAGAAGTGATGATTGCACAACACTGTGAATGTACTAAAAGCTACTGAATCGTACCGTTTAAAATGGTTAAAATGGTGGATTTTATGTTATGTAAATTTCACCTAAAACAGGAAACAGTTCCTAAAAGGACTGGAGAACTAATAGTTCAGAAGGATTCATCATGTCACAATCAAGATTTATGCAAAAGAATAAAGTCAAGACATAGTCAAAGGAAGTTACAAGACCACTGGACTTCTAGATAAAGAAATAATATTATATGC